CTATCGTTCAAATCAATTAATCATTAAAAACATAATTCAATTGCCAATTGAAGAGCACATACTTTAAGAGCTGATCCCTGAACAAAACTGTGGCCACAGTCGGGCCAATTGCATCTGAAATGACACAACAGATTATGGCATTCAACTAAACAAACACATAATCATCGATATGACAAACCGATAGGGCTTTTCTCCCGTATGCGTCCGCTTATGGTCTTTAAGATGAACCTAAAAATGACACAAAAAGAGTTAACAAAATACAACTCAAATGAGAGCAACAAAGCGTACCGAATGTCGGGCCACGTAATTACAAGAGGGCCAATCGCACGGGTACTTCCGCGTCACACCCGTCGGCTTTCGGCCCCTTTTCTTCTTGAGAAGGGCGTCGTCTGCGGCCGTAATATTGGACACAACTCTCAGATTATGAACGGCTTTGCCTTTGCCGGCGTTCGCGCCCTTCCTCTTCACTTTGCGCTTCTTCGGCGAGTTCTGCGGCGAGTCTTCGATGTCGTTGTTCTCCTCCTCTTCGCCATTGCTCTCATCGGCTGTGGACTCGGTTTTGATGGTTCGCTGACCGCCAGCACCGCCGGCGCCCGAGAAGCGCTTCACAATCGACTGGTCCTTATTGTGTCTCAAGAGGTAGTGGTTCTTCACCTTCTCGATGGAGTCGAACCGTCGGTTACAGAACTTACAGCTATAGTGAGTGACCACAACAGCCTCGGCGATGATAATGTCGTCCGCCTCCGAGTTGGCCGCGTCCTCATCGCCGGCCGTCTGGTCCTCACTCTTGAGCGGCTCGTAGTCTTCGTCGCCCTCTCCGTCGTCGCCATTGTCTTCCGGTTCGTCGCCGTCGTTGGCGGCGATCATCTCATTGTCGTCGTTGGGTTGGAACTCGTCTTCGGGCACCACTTGTGCCGTCATATAAGTGCCGTCAGACGACTCCATCATATGAACGGCGACCACCTCTTCGTCCATCTGTTGCCCAAAACAAGCGCTTCTTTAGGCGACGGAACCGATCGATTGAGACAAATAGCAGACAAAGCGATGACAAGACTGCAAAAGAGAGACAACAAAATGACATTTTGGTCGACAGTAGGCGTTGAGAGCCGACACTCAACGGCCGGCTCTTCGGCGCCGAACCGACGGCGCGATCGCCCGATAAATGGCTTATCATTTGATTGAATGACAAAAAGTAAAAGTTTTTATGCGATTAAAGGATAAGAAAAACAGCGAAAAAAAGTTGTAATAAACAAAAAATGTAATCAAAAAGCGAGCGATTGATTGAAATTACGTGAAGTTTAATGAAGTGTTTTGTGAGAAAATGCGGACAAAAAGCGCTAAACAAGCGGTAAATCCGCTCTTTTTGGGACCGAAACCAAGTTTTTGCCGAAACTCGAAGTTCTGGCCGTTATTTGTGTCAACCGGTTGTCCAACCGATGAATACGTTTACCATAAATATCTCTCACAAAGTATTTAACGGTAAATAACGTTAAATAATGTAATCATTTGTTTTCTACCATTCAATGCGTTGAATGAATGGAAAACAACAATAATGTGTGCATTGATTGCCGTTTGAGTCCAAACATAATGTCGTTTTATTACACAAACATTAAAACCGTTTTCAGTGCACTTTTTTAGCCATTAAAACGCGATTGCATTACAAATTACGTCAACAATTAGGACATTCACTCACCGGTTGTGTTGTGTGACGTGTGGTCGACACCGACGGACAGCTTAACGGAACGGACACTGGCTTTACGTTTCGCAAACACTTTCGTCGATCGCAATGCGAAACGCCGTTCAATGCGTTGACTAATGGTTCAAAATGGAGTGACTCTGACATGTTATTTGTGTGCCTTTCATAGTGTGGGCACACAATTCACTCATTACGTTAGGCTTGTGGAGCGCGCGGTGGCGCCACTCATGCGCTACTCTTTTATTGAACACTCAGGTGTGAAGTATAGGCGCCAACAGAATCGGCGCGATTTATGAATGTAGATCATGCTCAATATGCCCATTATGCCCCATGGTGGTTCAATTAATTGCTGTTTTAATGCCACATGCTTGCGTTTTAATTATGTAACTTATTTTTAGCGAGCATTTTATAATGAGAGTGACACTAATCATAGAAACGTGTTGTGAAATATTTGATTAAATTATTACTAGTGTTAAGCATTTATAAATGAGTGCAGAACGTTCATCACAGTGTAGTTTACAATTTGTGTGTCTCTTATTGCTATACATCGATATATAGTAAATCATAATATGATTATGTAATGTAACATAATATAATATTATTATACAATACATGTACAATGTATAGACCGCATGTATAATATATCATAATTATACATTAGAATATTAACTTATACAAATTCTGTATGCGCAAAATATTGACCAATGTAAATTTGTAACTTAATTATTAGTTTTAAATATCCCATTCTTTCTAAACATGCCTATTGCCGATCGCTAACATAATTTATAGTTAAATATTGTTTTATTGTTACATTTATAGCAGATATTATTCTATAAGTTATAATACAGTTAAATGTCAGTTATTTAGTCCGTGAATACAAATAAATTTGAATTTTATTTGCTTTGCATCCCATTTGCGATGTATTTCTTATTTTTATTTTTTAAAACAAATATTTTTACTTAATCTTCTATGAATGCAAATGGGATTTAGATATCGCTGTGAAGTGTTATAATGGCAAACAACTCGTGCATATAAATAGCATTATATTATCAATCTATAGAGATATACAATACATGTATACTTTATATAAATCCAATCGTCGACAAGAATTCGTGGAAAATATTGAGAATATGTGAAGAATATTATAAAAAATATCTGAAATAAATATTTGTATTTTTTAGAGATAATAAATAAAATAATTGCTCTTGGTGCCTTTTGATTTATAAATTAATATATTGATTTGTACTGTACTGTATACGTGTAAATTATATTGCAGTATATCAATAATGTACATAATTATATGATAGAATCTATACTAATAAGATATCAATAAATTAAACCAATATATTACTCATTCACTGCATGTTTAATATAAAGTTATTATATTTGATCAAAAAATAAAGTTATATACCAAAGTAAAGTATATAACAGTACTAAAGCTTATATACAGTACTAAAGCTAATGTTTTATTCATGTTATCAGATATTATATTTTGTTGTGATTTATATTTGAGACATAATATCAATTGAGATCCTCAAAGGAATTGACAATTTATAAGAATATATTACTGTTAATCAAAATGATTTTAATCCAAAAACAAATATAAACATATTTGTAGTGCATTTGCTATTTCATAGAACATATCAAATTAGAATATAATTAATGTTATACACTTTTGGGAAGATTCTTATTTTCCCAATATCTTCCCTCCCAAAATATGGAATTTTTACGGAGGATATAAATTTCGAGGGAACTAATGTATTCATAAATGCTAATTAAGTCCAAATATTTTGCGCCTTTTTAAGTTTTGTTAAAAAATGATCTAAAAATTAATTTAAATTAAATTAATTAAATAAATTTAACAACAATTTTTGACATAATATGTTTAACTAGATTAAGATACATATTATAGTTGGAAAAAAATTATATTTATATCCATCGACCGGTCATCGTTTGACCACATTTTATCTTATTTTCCTTGTTTTCAAGAAGGTAAAATATCTTTCCTCTCAAAAATATATTCAACGGGGAAGTGTCTAACGTTACATATAATAGAACTACAATTTATAAAATTATAGTTTTTATAATAAATATATTGAATTTTATCATTTAATTGCATAATTGATAAAAGACTGCACAAGTACTACAGTATATACCAATTAACTCATTAGAAACTCATTATTTTTTATATAAATGCAAAGAATGTTTTGTAAATAAAATGTTTTTTTGATTGTGTTTTGCTCAAAATGTCTAAATGCTTATATTTTTAGAATTAAAATATTTTATTTTATTTAAAATGACATATTATTTGTCATTTGAACTTTACGTTATTTCAAATCATATACAGTGTAGTAGTTATTAGTAGTGTGACAACATCTATATAATAGAGTATTTGAAATAAACTATTTCAAGTATGCTATTTGAAGTGTAATATTTCAGTTCCTTAGACACTTAAAATTAATTTTTTTATAAAAAGTATACAGAATTAATCTGTTATACTACATACATACATGTATATATACTGTATATATAACTTATACAGTACATGTATATCATTTTTATAAATATGTTTTGATTAAAATGATTGTATATTATTTATGCTACAATTTCCCTTAAGTATTGACTAACTTACATTTTGACACCCTCTGTGTAATGTTCATTATTTTTTCAAATTTTTTTGCATAATGTATAACAGATTTATATTAAATTCTTATAACTATAAATTATAGTCTATAATAAGTTAATGAATACATTAATATTAAGTGTGTATTTTATTGATTTTCAATATTTCAGTTGTAGCTAAAAGGAATTTACAAAATAATGTAAATACAATAATCTTATGTAAAGAATACATTCATTTTGTTTTTCATGGTTTAATAAGTTAATTTCGCAAATTATTTGTATTGAAAATAATGAGATAATAATAGCAACAAAGAATAATATTCATGTCCTTTCAAATCTATTTAAAGATAGATATACTTAAGGAATATAAAAATGATATGTACATTAATAATTGAATTTATAAACTCGTTCATTCACTCATATAAATTTATATATTTTTAACATACATCTTGTATAATTTTTTACTGTCCTGTAATGCATATCAATTGTTGAATTAAATAGCCTAAAGTGTGTGTACGGTATAACACCATCGCTAATATAATTGTCAATAGTTATCGTAAGTACACTACTGTATGTCATGTTCTGAATGCCGATATACTGTAATATTATGTGTGAATTGAGTCGAAATATAGTGTAATGGACAGCAATTTTGCGCACAAAACACTTGTGGATTCAATCAGCGCTTACTCTAGACTTGAATCACACTTTCCCTCACAATAGAGATTTGTTTGCAAACGCTTACAGTCTATGAAAACTAACGACAAAAAAATGAATTTCATTAAATAGTTAATTGATGTTTGTAGAAGAAAAAATAAATTTAATATTACACCTTGTAACTTTAATCAAAATACAAAATAAACGTTTATATTAAGTGTGCTTAAATATTTATATGCGATTAAATAGAGTAGCTAATATTATTAAGAATAACTAATCTAGTTAGACCATAAAATTAGTTATCTAAGCTAGTACAAATACAATCCATGGATACGCCGACATACGATGTTTGGTACAACTTGTCGAAGAAAAACTCGTCAATAGTAATGCCTAAACTGGAGGCTCTGGACGAGCCGTACCCGACACTGTTGGGCGCGCTGTATATATTGACGGCTCTGTTGGCACTCGTGCTCAATGTGTTCACAATAATCGTGATAAAAATGACCAAAAGTCGTATGTCTTCGGAGTTGAGAAAATATTTGTCAAACTTAGCGATTGTCGACATATTGCTGGCCGTCTTCTCCATCCCCTTCTCGTATACGGACTTCATGTACGGCCGGTGGCTCTTTCCCACCCTATTGTGTCCCGTCTATAACTTTGTCACCACAACCGCTGTCTTCGTCAACATCTATACTTTGGTCGGTATTGGATTTGGGAGGTATGACTCTCTCTCTCTCTCTCTCTCTCTCTCTCTCTCTCTCTCTCTCTC